CCCCAAAACCCCAAAACCCCAAAACCCCTAAAATATCCTTATCCAAAATCCCATATTCCCCAAAAAAACTCAAAAACTCAAAAATAAATTCAATCCACCCCACCTTCGCCCCAAAACCCCAAAACCCCACTCCAATCCCACCCCTGCTCTTCATTCCGATCCAAATTCTCTCAACCCCAAACACCACCTTCTCCAGTACCAGAGCTTCGCCAAACAGCCCAAGTAGCCAAGACCAGAACCAATCAAAATTTTAGAAGAGATAATCGACAGATAGGAGGATGGCTTATGAAGAAGAGGCTCGGGAAGTAGAAATATGGGAGGTAAGTTTTAAAGTTGGGAGGCTTGGAAGGGTGGAGATAGAGGAGATGGGCTTATGAATAGGAAATTTGTTGGAATTTTGGTATTGGAACTTGAAAATATTTGAAATTTTTGAAAATTTTTAAAGCACAGGAATGTGGATTAATGTTAAAGAGTTTTATGTTTGAAAAATATATTTTAGTGGGTTAATTAATAGTCAGATATAGGATTTAGTGTTACTTTATTTAGAATTTCTCAACAATAAAGTAAAGATAATTTGAAAATATTTTTAAGTTATTTAATCTAGAGAGAATCCAGATGACAAAGATACATTTAAAATACTTGAAACATCTTTTTATTCTACAAAAAAGCCATTAAGAACAACAAATTTTTAAACTAATTTAATACCAGGCACAAGATAGAAAAAGTAATATCTAATAGTGAGAAGTTCTACCCAGCTGTAAATTTCGAATTACTGCTAAAACACATAATTCTATTCAGCTAAAACCTATCTTTGGAATCTCTATAACTTAACCTTCTTATTTTCCACAAATGAAAAGTGCATCATTAAAACCCCAATATTCCAAATCCTTTCAAAAATACTTAAACAGACCAAGAAACTGACGCATTATATTTCCAAACTTAGTTAGGCTGATTAAGCTACAAAACAGGTTTTTCCTCTCTAGAACCAAAATACAAGAACTCCTAAGAATGAATAGGATAATAGACAAATTTAGAATTAAGTGCTTAAACAAGCAGCCTTAGTGCTCAATGCTCTAATTTAGCTTTGTGGTTATTGAAGTTAGGAAATTATTATACCCTGTTGGCAGGTTTAGGAGGGATAACAATGACAGATAAAGAAATACTTTTGAAGGTTGATGATAACTCAGAAAATTATGAATTAGACAGATAACATAAAGTCTGATGTAATTATTCCTGTTCAGTCTGACTCTTAATCTTGTTGATATAGACATCAATATGGCCATTGATTCTCTTCTCCAAATCATCCATCGTGTCAATCGTTGTTTCTCTGATACTTTTCTTATCAGCATATTCTTTGAGCAACTCATGGGCTTTCTTCTTTTGCTTAACACCAGATTTATTCTTAGAGACTCTATCATACATAAGCCTGAAAGTTAATGTTTTAGATTTAGAACTCTTCTTTTCAGTTGGAGGCTTTAGTAGACCTCCTCTATAAGGAGGCCTAAACCCTCGTGAATACTTGTATTTATCAAGCATCTTCTCTCGTTGTTCAGCATTCTTGTAACCTAAAATATAATCACTTGCTTACTCTCAACTAAGTGCTTATCTTCAGCAGCTCAATTATTTTGCAAAAGCTTTCTGTAATTGGAAATAAGCGTTCCTCATATTATCTTCCTGAATTATTCTTAACTTCTGAGAATCAGAAGGTTTTAAAGAATTCTGAAGGCCTCTGAATGCACCATCAAGACTGATAATTATCACTTTAAGATCAGGAGAGATATTGTTGAAGGACTTAATCTTGCTGCCATTCACCGTGAAAAGAGAAATCTTTTTACTATAGCCGCAATCTGTGTCTACAATTTCACCTCGAGCGACTAATCTTTGAACTTCTTTTGCTAAATGATCGTAGACTTGTTGCTGGATCCAATCTTTCATTTCCATAAAAGATCTCTTCAGGAACTCATCTCGTAGTTCAAAGAACTCTGCTGGAGGTTTCTTCAATAACTTAGGAGGCTCAATTTTGTATTTTTTATGAAAATGAGTGATGTTTAAGTCAAGCACAAACCCATCATGGAGGCTTCAGGATTTATTCCTTTTCTCATCTCTTTCCAGTATATCCGAATTGGCTATATCTGTGCCATCTAGAAGAGCCATTACATGGTGGTCGCTTGACTGTGGAACTACATTATCACTCTATAGATAACCGGAAATGATACTTTGTTAGATCTAATATGCTTCATTCTGCCTCTAGAAAGATCTTTGCTGGTCTACAAACTCATGGATTTAAATTACCTTAGTTGTAGGAACAATTCCTGGTAAAACAGTTTTAGAAATATTGTAAGAAACAGATAAATCTCTTAACTTATGTGATCTGCCTTTACTAACTTGAGAGCTTCTTTTTCTGTACAAAAAACGTCGTGAGATGTTCTTCGATTCTACCTGCTTTGTTCCTGACAGATTTTGAGATTGATCAATGGAACTCCACTTCATATCTGGCATTTTATTTGGAGGAAATATTATTGAACGAGAGTCTTGATTTTGAAAAACAGGGTCTTCTTCTGTGTTCAATGTTATATTTGAGACTTGATCTTTAGAGAACATTTCTCTAAAAATAAATAACTTTCCTACCTCTTAGCTGTCTTATAAATAGGACCAGCTCTTCCTGTTGATTCGACTAAATGTAAAAGCTCAATTATACCTCTGCTAAATTCGACTTTAAAGGAGGGGTTAATTTTGAAAGTATCTCTACTAGAGATACTAGCAAGGCCTTGGCACTATAGCTTTTAACAGTCCTGAGCTTACCAGCCTTTCTTCGTAAGGACTCACATTATTTTGTAAGAGGCTTACTTCTTCTGTTAATTATGGAGTTAATTGAAAGCGATGTATCAATACTAGGGTTGTACATGTCGAGGCTCCGATCGTCTGTTATTATCTGTGAAGCATTGTTGTCATTAATTTCTTTGTGAATCTTCTGTGTTCACACACCACCTGGATTTTCAATATGCTTATTTGAAGATAAATCTAAAGATTGGAGGTCCAACACTCTGTCTTTTGATTTCGAGCCATGAAGAGGATTCGAAGATTTTAAGAAAGCAATATTCCTGAGATTTCGATTTAGTACAATTAAATTTCTGGAGTTAATGAAGGAGTTATTCATTCCTGGACTCACAACCTTGTCTAAACTTTTATCCCTGTTAAATGTATTCGCAGAATTGAAATTGAGGTAAGGATTAGTGGTCAAAGAGTTGCTATGAACTTTAGAAGCAACAGATGATATTTTAGTTTCCTCTTTTCCCTCTCATATCCCTCCGTCCAGACTTTTCAGCTCAAGAGGTTCAAATTCTTCTGTTCCAATCTGAATATTTTTTGGAACCAAAGTTTTTATTTTTCCTTTATTAAGTGGTGATTTTTTCTGTAAATTTTTGATTCTTTTATTTTGAGCACTATTCTTCAAAGAAGTTTCTCTCTGTATTTTAGCAGGAGCCTCATTTTCATGAGAATCTAAAATGGCTTAGAAATATTTACGATGGGGATCTTGTTGGTCAGTTCATGTGGATGCATCAATTATCTTTCGAAGCTGATCCATCTCTACTAAATTACGAGAGGAACTGTTAGCACGCTCTTGTCGCTGATGTAGATAAGGAGTAGGCTCTTTTCTGTTATTGGCTTTAGCTCATTTTCTTATTCTTGTATAGAAATTATCGTGCCTGTTGGTATTGCCTAAGCTTTTGGTATATTTATGCTTTGGGATTTCTAAATTAAGTTGTTGGTGCACTTTTTTGGCCCCTCTGCTATCTCTCCTGGGACCTTTAAGGTCATCTTCAGCTGCAACAGGATCAATTCTCCTCTGGTTTTGCAGCATGGGAACGTTTCCATAATGATGAGGCTCTGACTGATCTTCCTGGGCTAAAAAATAAGCTAGTTATCTTTACGAAGACAGTCTGGTTGATTGTGCACTGAAGGAGTAATGACCAACAGCTTGTTCTTATCCTGTGTCTTGCTCATAGTTGACTAAAGGGTTAAGGAAACTCACATTTTTCATATATTTTAATTCTATTTTTAACAAATTTTGGGGTTTTGGGGTTTTGGGGTTTTGGGGTTTTGGGG